CCAACCTGACCACAGGCTGCCCCGCATCGCAGCGCCCGGCTCCGTTCCGCCCGCAGCTGAAGGAACAGCTTGGCACACGGTTTTCCAAAAGGCACCTAAAGCAACAATAAAAATAGAACAGCACATGGCAGCGTGCCAAACCAGAGCTCTCCCGTAAGAACACAGCTGAAGTACCAAAATAGGTGAAAATAATGAAACTCGAAAATTACTTTTGCTGCTATTCTTACATTATGAAGATCACGTTCCTTCTTTTTCAAGGTAATTGAAATGAAAGCAGTTAAGTCTGTATCCTTCTGACTTCCCATTTGTCTGCTACAAGCATAGCGAGGCCATATTTACACTGCAGTCACTGCTCATCCTCATTTTAACAAGTTTTTACCAAGTTTCCCCTGTTTTCTCCCTTGGAAAAAAACACTGGAATGTGTCAGCTGCCTGCTTCCAAGATCACACGTGAAACAAAGGTTACTGCCAGTGGTCAGGACGTAGTGTCTTGTTACTCAAACAAATTGAATTATTTGGCTACTGCATCCATAACCATCCAAAATATCCTATTACAGGACTCACATCATCTAAAATCACACTCAAATTAAAAACTAGAGACCTCAAATGCACGCTGCATTAATTACAAAACTGCATTTCTGACATTTATTACTCAAAGTGATTTTTATTACCCCTGTTTAACTACAAAATCAACTACCCACAGTCAGAGAATAAAAGTACCAGAAATAGGGAGATTGAACAGTCCCCTCAAATCACCCCACACAAACTATCCTCAAACTCAATTCAAACAAATAAAACCAGCCAATTACATTACCTGCTAATTATCTGCTTACTAAGACTTGATACGGTTTAAATTCCCAGCGTTCATCCACGTTACGAGGCGACCTGAGATTTTTGCCCAAAGGAATAGCAAGTAATTGCATTAAAAACAGAAAGGTCTCTTTTTCAACAGCTTGTCTTTATTTGCAAATAAAGCAAAAGTCTTTTTTCCCCATCCGATGTGCTACAAGGAAGGCACTCTCTCATAAAACTTATGCTGACATTCTAGTTACGTAAAAAAGGCAATTCAGGCATGGCCAAGAAGTGCAATATTACCTCAAAAAGTACTCATGTCTTTTGAGGCCAACGGTGTGTATGGAACAGTAAGAAAACAGCTGTATTAAGTCGTCTTTGCTGCCCAACGACTACAAGAGCAGCTCTCCCAGAAAGCACAGAGTGCCCCACGTGTGCCCCAGAAGCAGCCAAGGCACCGCAGCAGCAGACAGGGCACAAGTGCACAGGTGGCAGGAGCTGCCCTGCACAATGCAGGCACTCTGCATGGCAAAACCCATCACTTGAGGCTTTTTTTCCATAATGTAAGAGTCACAGGCCAGCGTGTGGCAGTTTGCTTGTCACATCAACCCTAAGGCAATGGGAACAAATACAGGAATGCCTCCATCTTCAGAAGCTGCACAGAAATCTGCTATAAAAACCAAATCTTCTTCCACTGAACCTGAGCACTCCTGCTCCTCTCCTCTAATCCAGCAACTAATATTCACTGAAATAAATGCAAAGAGAAGGAAGATGTACGAGGCAATGTAAGTGCAGCACCAACAATCCATGAGACTGGAGAACAGAAAAGAAAGCAGGTACCAGCGCACCAAAAAGCCAGGCATGCTTTCCTCTCCAGACACTTGGCTTCCAGTGGGCACTGTCACTTCTCAATCACAGATCAGTCAGTCCTCCTGTGTATGCCAGTCTTCTCACGTCTACACGTTCTTCCAGTCATACTCTTATGCTCTTTTACAAAAAATACTTCTTCCCTCAGTGAAAGTTATAGCAACCTACAGCAAAACAAAACAAACACAGAACACAACAGAGCAAACAGTAAAGTACATCCAGGGCTACACAGCAGTTGCAAGGCAGTGAACTTTTAATTTCCATCTGACGTTGCAATAAGATGAAGTAACAGCATACAAATGTGGGTCCGTGTGCACCTTATTTCTACACTCATTGGAATAAATTGGTTTAAAAAGCAGATTGTGCTTCTCCAAATGACTGCAGCCAGTGAAGACCAGAAAAGAGCTGTCACTGAAATACAAAGGGCTACCTAAGAGCCCTCCAGGACCCCATTTTTCCACGTCCCCTTCTCCAAAGCCAGGCGCCAGACCTCCTCAGCTCCATTCAGTCCAGGGCACTCAGTGAGATGAAGGCAGGGAGCCTCACGTGCCTTGTTTTCCACCCAGTACCTCGCCCATCTGTGGTTTCCTTAATAGCGCAAACCTTGGAAATAAACAAATACTAAAAACACAGCACTGTGAAACGCAGCGGTGCTGTAACATTTAGGACTTGATCCTGGCCACCAAACTGAACGAACGTGAACAGAAGGCAGCTTTTGCACTGATACCTAAGAAAACGTTTGACTGCTCAGAGAACAGTCCCTCAAGTCTCCCAACACGAACAAGCCAGCACCAGCACCGAATTCATCTGCATCTGAACGAGGGCCTTGTTCAGGAGCTTCTCTAACTCCACGTTTACTCTCCAAAAGATCCAACCTGACCAGATCTCATGAACCACAACATGAGAAAAGTGAGTTCAAAGAAAACAGATTCCAATAAAATTTTGTATGAATTCACATTCTGAATCTCCAGGTCCCAGAAGTTCTCACTGTACAACACAAATAAATATCAGACCTTATTATGAGTCATGTTACACTTCAAGGCTCCTCCTCAAACTGCAGATATCTGACCTGTTGGAAACAGGTGTCTTTTTTTTCAAATATAAAAAGCCAACTGATGGCACTGGACTAATCTTCAGATGCAAAAACCATTGACAGAATGGTGAAAGAGTCGAATGGTGGAAAGAACCTTTATAAAAAACATACTAAAACAAAGCTCTTCAGCGACACAGGCATAACACAGCAAAGCCTACCCAAAGGTCTCCCTGCCAAACATACCACACCAGGACAAAACATCCAGCACCCCTGCCCTGCAGGCTGCCCTGCCAGCACGGCTTCCCCACCATGCCGCTTCATGGTGCAATGGGAGGCAGGCCCTCAGCTGCCCCCAGTGCCTTGCAGCCACACGGGCTCCCAGAGCTGACCCAGGAGCCCAGTGCTGGCAGCATTGTGGCCCAAACTGGGCACACGGTGAGCTCCTCCCTGGCAGAAGGAATCCCAGGACTTGTCCAGGGGCACGCAGTCAGGACAGGACAGAAGGGGACCACTGAGGTCAGTGACAGAACAGTTTGAGACCATCAAAGATTCCCATTTTCACTTCCCATTTGACTTTAGAAGTGGAAGTGATCTTAAATGTGGGACTGCTCTGAATCTCAGCATCGGCACTGGGACTGCGTGTCACGTGCAAGTTTTTGGGACGTGTGGAACAGCCCTTTCCACTCCACCATGGATTCACTGTGCTCAAGCTTCCTGTTCCCCATCCAAAGCCCCACTTGCCCACACACCCATTTCCCAAGGACTGGTTATTGCTTCATTCTCTCCCTTCTTTGGCAGTGATCCTCATATAAGAAAGCTGAAGTTTTCATAATGTGGACATGTTTCTTTATACCAAGAAAATGACCAGAGCTTAACAGTCTTAAGCTGTTAATAATGTTGGCTGCTATCAACCACTTCCTTCCATTAAAGGACAACTACTGAAGCAGATGAAGCCCAGAAGAACAGCATCCAGCTGACAGAGGAAAAGTCTATAAGGCATCCCTTACCCAATCTGTTCCCTTGATTCCTCACCCAAGAACAGACAGTACCACTTTGGAAATTCGCACCTACAGCATCTGCTGAGGGTTTTAAATTACTTGGAGAAGAAACGGTCACACCGTTGGCAGAGATCACAGCGAGCTCAAAACTCAGCTCCTTCAACAAAGCACAGGATTGCAAGAACACAACCAAGAGGCCAAAATAGCCAGCACCAACACTTGCTTACTTCTGGGATTCACTTGATAAAAACAAGCAATTCAAGTGCTGAGTGGCCTCTGTGAAACACACAGCACACAAATTCCAGAAAACCAAACTTCTCCTATATTTGCCTGCAGCAACAAACCGAGGCAATACCACTACAGACGAGAATGACAAATGGGGACACTCCAATCATTCTAAATTTGAACTGCAAATGACAAAAACAATGTAATAAAAAGGTTCACAGCACTCTGATGCTAAAGTCATTCCATGATTTAACTAAGTCTCCTGTACTTGCTCCCACCACCGAGTGCACACTTTCAAGTGGTCTGTAGCCTGCAGCCATCTTCTACAGGCGATTGCAGTGCCATGTAATACTCAAGAGAACCCGTCCACATTGCTTTGTTTAATACACAAAACCTAAGAACATTGATGCTGTTCATAGACTGGGTTGAAACAGAATAAGGAGATCATGTATCAATGTTCTCCACACGGCTTCCAAGTGGGAGTGACTTCATTCTATACATCTGCATCTTTACATGCATTAGGATGTAAACCAGGAATGCTATATATTTATGGAATTTGAGTTAACGACCAGCTAGTCTAATATTCCTATTTTTAAAACTGAATGCTCTTTAAGCAAATAACGACTTTCGAACTAACTATTCCAATAAGCTACGAAGCTACCAACCTTTTGTAGTTATAAAGATTCCAAATATATTCTATGCACTGAACTCTGAGCACTACAAACCTCCTTAGTGGCACCGGTGAGCTCTGCTTTCAACTGCAAACTATGGAGACCTGGTGAGTCAAAGAGCCGTCCACAACTTGAGCCAGAGTGCTGTGCAGGGCACCAGCCGGCCCTCACAGCACTCATGGGCTGCACTCGGCTCTGACCTCCTGAAAATGTAAATGAGAGGAAGAAAACCACATACACAGCTTTGGCCCAGGTAGGCAACAGGGTGGTGTCTGAGCGTGATGAAATTCCACAGCCAAACTTACGCATCTCCCCAGCCCCAGTGTTGTTTCCTGTTTGTTTACCCAACGGTAAACTCACCGCAACAGCCCCAACTTCCCAGATTTCCCTCCCTGGCTGCTCAAAGGGCACAGGATGGCGGGGCCCTGCTGCCATCATCAGAGGTTCACCCGTGCAGGGAGCGCTGGGGGCGAGCAGGCGGCACCAGGAAGGCGCAGACGAAGGCCCGCGTCGCACTATCGCTGCGGTATTCGTGTACCTGCGGTAACTGACCCACGCGCGGGCGTTCTGGCGAGCGCCGGGCAGATCCACGCCCCAGGAACGGCAGGAAGGGGCGGAAGGACGGCTCTAGGGGAGGGGGCACGGAAACGGGGAAGAGCCGGGCGGAGAGCGCCCAGAAGCGGCGGGGAGCCGCCGGGACCCGGCGCCGGGGGGCCGCCGCGCAGCAGGAAGGGCGCAGCACCGCTCGGCTCCTTCGAAAAGGGGCTCGACGCCGCCGCAGGGAGCGCCGAGGCGGCCGCGCGGGGCTTCGAGGCCGGCGCTCCCGGCGGCGTTCCCTCGCCTACCGGCTCCGCGAACCCGCACGGCTCCGGGGCCGCGGGCCGGAGCTCGCCGGGCGACGGGAGGAAGCGGCCGCCTCCCGCCCGCTGCCGGCCAATGAGCGGCGGGCGCGGGGCGGGCGGGGCGCGGAGGCGCCCGGCGGCGGAGCAGGCCCGGCGGGGCCGCGCGTGACGCACTTCGGTAACACGAGTCCCGCCCGGCGCCGCGCGGCCCCGGCCCGATGGGCCCCGGGAAAGGGGGGGGCGGGGGAGCGGGCGGGCTGCAGCGGGAGGGGCAGCGCTTCCACACGGCCCAACACCGAAGGGAAGGGAAGGCGGGAGCGGGTTGGGGCCGGGCAGCGCGGAGAGGAGAAGGGCGAGCGGGGCTACGGGAGCCCGCGGGGAGCTGAGCGCGGAGCCGGGGGAGAAACCGACCGCGAACGCAATAATAAAAAGGAGAAGCCCCGAGCTCCGCGCCGCCTCGGCGGCTGGAGTTGGATCCGGGCTTTATTTTATGTTATTTTGGCCGTCAGTCCGCGCACAGAACACGAGCGGGGCAGCAGCTCGGCCGTGCAGGGCGGAGCGCCCCGAACAAAAGTGGCGCCAAAAGCCCCCGGCACGGCCGCCGACCTTCCGCCTCCTCCTCCTCCCCCACCGCAGCCGCCCAGGCTCCGGCTGCACCCCGCCGCACGCGGCCCGGCCCGCTTCGCGCACAGTCAGTCACCGCAATCACCACCGGCAGCGCCGCGCCGACCCGCCCGGCTCTACGCGCTGCGGCGGCCGCCCCGAAGCGCTCGGAAAGGCCGCGGGGTCCCACAAAGGCCCGGCCGCGCGAAGCGGGGCAGCGCAGCGACAGCGGGCGTCGTCGGGGCGGGGGGGGGAAAGAACGGCCCGGGCCTCCGGAGCGCTCCTGCCGGCCCCGCTCCGAGCAGAAGGAGCCGACGAAGGAGCGCGTCGCGCCGAGCCGCGGCCGGGCGCCGTCGGGCGCGGGCCGCGATGTCCCCGCACGTCCCGGCTCGGCCCCCGGCGGCCGCCGCTCCGTTTCCCGTCGCCCTCCTCCGCTCCGGCCGTGCCCTCCCCGCCCGGCAGCGCGCACACAATGCCCGGGTCCTCCATCTTGCCGGCAGCCGCCGCTCGGCTCGGGGGAAGGGGGAGGAGGAGAAGGAGGTTCTCCATTTTAGCTCGCCGAGCGCCGGGCCCGGCCTGCCCGCGGCCCACCCCGGGGCGGAGGAGCCGTGCCCGCGTGCCCCGCGCCGAGGGGCCGCTTTCGGGGCCCTCCGCTCTCGGCCGCTCTCGCGCCCCCTCCCCGCCGCGCGCGCCGGGGTGGGGGGTGCCGGCGCGGCGCGGGGCCCGGAGCGTTTTGGCGGCTCGGCCCCGCCGTCCTCCATCTTGGCCGCGCCGAAGCCCCGCGGCCCGCCGCGCCCCGGCCCGGCCCCGCTCCGCCGCCGCGCGCCCCGCTCCCGCGTCCCCCCTCCAAACTTCCAGAAGCTTCGCCGCCATTTTCTAACTTACCTTGCCCAGCGTCGGCGCGGGCGGCGAGGAGGCCCGGGCGCGGCGCCGCGCTCCTCCGTTCCCGGCTCGGCCGCCGCTCGCGCGCCCGGCCCGGCCCGGAGACGTGCCGGCGGGGGGGTCTGGGCCCGGCGGGGAGCGGGCAGGTTATTTAATTTGGCGGCGGCGCCGGGGATTGTTTGGGGTGTTCGCGGCTCGGCGGCTCGCGAGCGAATGGAGGCCGCAGGCGCCACCTGGCGGCCGCCGGGCGCGGCCCGCTCTCCTGGGCGTGGGGCGACATCTGCCGGCCGGCCGCGGCGAGCGGCGCCGCGCGGGGTAAACAAGGCGCTGCGCGTGCGCGGCCCGCTCCCCGGCTCGTCCGGGCGCGGAGCCACGGGGCCGCGCTGAGGAGAGCGCCGGGCGGGGCCGAGCCGCGGGAGGAGGCGCGGCCGCCGGCTTCGTTCGCGGGGCGGGATCGGGTGACCGAAGGGCGAGGGAGGAAGGCCTCCGGGAGGGCCGGCCGTGTCCGCGGGCCGGGCTGCGCTCCGCACGGCTCTTCTCGGGCGCCGCCCCTCGGAGCCCCGCACACGCAGGCGACACGGGGCGCTTCGCCGCGGCGCTCCTACGTGCTGCGTTCGTCTCTCAACTCAGTTCGTTTTGTGTTCTGTTTTTTTTTCCCCGGCCTTGTGCAATGCTGAGCTCGCAAGCTCCTGCTTCCACCCCGCAGCACCGCCGCTCGCCTGTGGGCTCCCAAAACTTGGAGCTTACCTGTAAAAACGTGCGATTTCTTTTTTTCTTGTGTTTTTCATCTCTAAGGACTTAAACGTGCTTATATTTGGAAGTAAAAACAAGTTCTATTTCTTTTCCTGTCTTGTGCAATGCCCAGCACGGTGCTCGTGCTGTGTGCTCACTGCATTACTTCTGTAGGAAAGGTTGGAAAGAAACCGTGAGTGAAGAAAGGCAGGAGAAAGGTCTCCTTTCAGGGCACTTGGGAATCCTGAGCCCCAAGCCGTAAGCCAGCGCTCCAGGTTTGGCTGCAGTTGTTATCTGCAGTGTGAGCTGCCACTGTGCAGATTGTAGATATGCGTGGAAATTGTGAATAAAACACTGTTAAAAAAATAAAAATACAAATAAAAACATATGTTCCAAACTTAATCATAGCGTGTATATATATATATATATATATATTACACATGGTATTCAATTACACATGGAAAAAGATCAAAAGGAGCTGAGCCTACTTGTGTTGTCCCCACACCAAGGTAGCTTCTGACAGCTGCCAGACTCCTCCGTGAGAATAAACAGCACGCTCCCAAAGCCAAGGCTTTGCCTGCACGGTTTCAGCAGTGGCTACTCGCACTAAAACCCAACGTTTTGCAAAGATTAAAACACTTTACTGCAAGAGCTGGAGAAGCACTGGGTGCTCCAGGCGGCCTCAGTCAGCTGTGTGGAAAACCCAAGCGCTCAGATACACGTCAGGTATGCGGTGCGTTGAGAAAACGCTGCAATTTGACACGCTCCACCTCATAGCTGAGATTTTTTTAGGTAATTGTGTTCAACAACGAAAACGTGACATTATTCTTAGGGCGCGGTTTGGAAGGAATGCATGCACAAGTGCTGACAGCGCCGTGGCAGGTACAAAAGCTGACTCAGACCTGAAAAGCTCAGATTCATAACACTTGTGCACGTCCTGACTCATCTGACAGTTGGTTTTGTGCGCTTGTGACAACAGCTCGTGGAAGCTCTCCAGAGACCCGACTCCGGGTGCAGCAGCACAATGCCAATCGCTGGGCACACAGACCAGGAGGATTTCCACTGCCTCCCAGTTGCTCCATTCATCTGCAGACACTGCGTAAGCAGAACTTGCATCATCGGAGAGGTGGGACGGGCCATTTCTTTCTAGAGAGGTTGGTTTCTTTTCTCTTTTTTTTTTTTTTTTCCTCCTTCTGCAAACCAGATCATTTCTCAGATGCTATTTAGAGTACAACCACACAAACAATTCAGTCAGCACAACCGGAGGTGCAGGAGCTCCTCAAGGCCCTGAAAGTGCCTGTTTGTCCTGGAGGACAGAAGATCGGGTTTTTCTTCGCCCAGCTGCACCCAGGAAGAATTCGTCCTGCAGAGCCACGCTGAGATAAGAAAGCAAACAGAAAACAGTTTATATGACACACACCTGAAAAGCAACCACAACAATCTCAAGCTGTGTACAGGAGTACAGGAGACAGAATAGCGGAACAAGTTCTGAACCACGACATTTGTTGTGAAAGACAAAAGACAAAAAAGGCTCCGCAAAGGCTCCGTATTCTGCTTTTTTTCCCCAAAAAGAAAATCATTCTGAGCCCAAGCCTTCCAACTCCTATAGCAACAGGGGAGATGTGTTGAAAAGCCCTTCTTGCTACATAACTACTCTTTTCTAAGGACAGTTCCAGATGTGTTTTGACCCATTTTCAAAACCTGTGAAGGAACCAAAGAACATCCTGAAGGGTCTGTGTAGAACTTCAGCATTCCAGCATGTTCTCCAATAAAATAACAATTCCGAAATCCGCCATCCAAGCATAAGGAAATAGAGACGTTTTACAGCTCTCACCTCACTAGAAAGGGTTTGCATCTGACAGAAGAGCTGTGAGAAAGATGGGAGGAGAAAGGACTTTATGGGACGACATCACCTTTCTTACAGCAGTCACTCTTAAGACTTCAAAGTCCACCGTTACGGATAGTGAGCCCAATTCAGAGATGATTTAACAATGGCTTTTACAACAGGGATTGTTACAACACTGGATCCAAAGAGAGCTCTTGATCAGTCACCCATTTAAGAAACAGCGCTAGGAAGGGGCAGACAGTGAACTAGTTCCGTGTCTGATTAATGGCCAAAGCTCCACAGGCAGATCAGAGCACCCTCAGGCTGCCAGATGGCTGATTCATTCCTCCAGGCAGGAGACTCGTGCTCATGTTGCTCCCTTTTCTTTGAGAGCAACAGAATAGGAAATTGCTCTGCAATTCTGTTTCCTCTTCTCTATTTTTAAAAATAAATAAATAAAAAGCACATCCCTTGACCATTCCTTTTATCTTTTCTAAAGATTTGCTTATAAGTGTTGGAACAAAAAGAAGAGGGAAAAAAACAACAGAATTGGTGCACTGGATTAATTGCAAGGAGAGGTGGTGACCTTGATCACCTGTATTAAATAAGCTACAGCCATATTTTTATCTGTCTTGCTGGGGACAGGGACAAAAAGCAGTCTTCCCAGTCCAATTTTCTTTCTCCAGTTTCTGAAACTGACTCAGTCACTCTAGGGAAATCTGCTCTGAAACCTTTTGGAGATGAGCTATTACATAAGAAACTAAAATAAAGACCAAGAAATGGGTTACTTTCCCCTAACTCACAGAGAGAGATTTCACATCAGTAGCTCCTTAGGCCTTTCCCTGTTCTGTGAATAACTTCTTCCTTTTGTGGTTCACATAAATCACCCTTTTTGCCCCTGCTTTTCACCAGTGTTTTCCACCCTACTCAGCTCTGAATTTTCTTGGATTCCATTTCTTCCCAACGTGCTCTCAGACCCACAGAGGCGTGTGGAGTCACAGCTCACAGCTTTGTCACTTTCCACTTTGCTTCACTCTTGGTTCTTGATATGAATTAAAACTCTAGCAAGTTTTAATTCATATCAAGCTTTAATGGCACAAATGCCTTCCTGCCATTTCTTCCCTCAGCTGTCCGCCTGTGCCACCCGCTTGCCAGGGCCCTGCTCTCGTTCCCATATTTGAGGTGAGGGGGTTCTTGCTGCTAGTTCTCCTTCTTTGAGATAATAACCCCATAGCCACATTTTAAAGCTTTCATCATTAAACTGTGTAAAAGCCAAACGAAATATTGGGAGGAAATAACGAAAAGCCCTTCTCCTGGTTAAGAGGAGCTGCTTTCACTGCAGGCGTGACTTCAGCCTTACAGATCTGACAGTGAGCATTACCACTCCAGCCCTCCACTGAGCCAAGGGCAGGATCTACTAGGAGGCTCCAGGAGTCAGAAGCAAGCCTTCCACTCAAGCAAAGGGACCACGGGGCAGGCAGTGCTTTGTGAGTTGGGCGCCACGGCAGCATTGGTGACAAGACCTGCAGAAGAGGCACGTGTGCACGGAGAGGCAGGAGACAACAGACTGTCCAACAACAAAAAGATGGAGAAGCAGACGATGGCTGCCATGAGGCTAGGTGGGCCTAACAGCAGCAGCTAGCCATGAGCGAGGAGGCACCTTGAGTTGGAAAGTAAAACCTCCGCAGAGACCCCACAGTACTGTGAACACAGGGCTGCTCTGCTCCCAGGAGCATGCAGCACATAGCAGCTCTCAGCTGCTCAGCTTTGTAGAACCACAGGCCTCTCTGAGATGTTGACACAGAACCGGGCTTTACCTGAGATGAGAAGGAAGGCAGCTGGCTTGTGGTTAGGTGAGTAGAACTGGGACATTGTTCTGCAGCTTAAGCTCTGCCCAAAATCACAGAGCAAAACGATGATAAACAAGTGAAGTCAAATATATTTATCTTTAAATTGTCATCAGCAAGCTTTGAAGAAAATGATCCATCAAATAAACGAGTCAGCTCCCTCCTGTCTTTTCAGGCAAACACCCATTTTGGATATTGACAGTGGATCAGTTTATCTTGGTCTTTTCCCCACAAACTGCTGAGGCCAGAGCTTGGGGAGTGCTGCAGTGGGAGCGTGTGCAATAGGGGTCGGTGCCTACAGGACAGATAAGGTAAAGGAGCAGATTACTCCTTCAGATAAGCTTGCATGGTTTTCTGGGCTGACTTAGCAGACTCCCAAAGTTCTATCTGTATCTTTGTCACCGTTTCATTTAGTTTTCATCATCAACCAGCTACAAGGTTTCTTCCTGGAAGTCCTTCCCATCCGGTGTGGGGCTCAAGGGTGCTCTTGCTGCCTGAATCCCTGATACAGCATAAGGTACAAACAAAGCAAAGTGTGATCTCGTCATGGAGCTGCAATTGAGATTTTCTTCTAACAAAGCGATGCATGACAAGTAGCAGGCAGTGCAGCAGTTCGTTCGTGACATCTTGGCAGCTTGCACAGATGTTCAAAACGGTTAAGATAAAAATACTCTTTCAGAACACAACTTCCTTTAGCAGGGTTACAGAAGTACTGCCAGCCTCAACAGCAGCAGCTGAAGGGCTTCTTCGTCCACAGGGCCTTCTGGGAGCACTAAGCACTGAGGACAGCAGATCCCATTGGCTCTCCCATGTAACGCTATCAGGGTCGGGTACTGGAAAAGGAGGTAAAGCCAGTCCTGGATTCAGAAACTCCACTCTCTTATGCAAGAGTTCCAAGAGACTGCCACAGCTTGACACCTGCCTTTGAAAAGCCCGTATTGACAAGATAACTTCTAGAAGATAACTACTTCTAGAAGATAACCATTTGCTTTAAGTGATGAATCTCATCATGCTGTGCAAGTTACACAATTAGTAATCATCCAAAGGCAACTAAGTAGTTTTCACCCATCCTGCAGTAGCAGATACCTGCAACAAAACTAATATCATTTTCTTCCAAATTTTCTCAAGGGTTTTGCTTAGCCAAGCAATTTATCACTGGCAATGTACTGTCTTCTTCCCTGCCCCAGGAAAAAAGTGAGTTTTTGTGCTCTGTCAGTCACAGAGCTGTTATTCTCTGAATCAACATTTGTAATTCAGTGTAACGTTAACATCACTATTGTTTAAGAATGGAGTCCTGGCTAAAGAAATGGAGGATAAAACTGCTGAAATTCAGTTTCTGTGTATAATCACAGGTCACTGGCCCCCTCACAGAGAGCCACTTCACAGTTACAGCTCGGTAATTTCTCTACAGCAGCATCAGCACATCCCCTGAAACTGCCCAGCAGTGGCTCACAGAGACAGAGGTACTGTCAGCAACCCAAAGCAGTGTGAAGGCACAGCGAGGAGAGCTCTTCCTCATCAGATTTCCCAGCCACTCAGCAAAACTCAGTCACACAGAACACAAAACTAAAAGGGGGTGAGGGCAGTTGAGTATTAACTCATGGTTGAGTTCCATGAGGAATGGGAGCAATCTCACCAGACCAGTGGCGGCATGGAGAAGGCAGCCAGCACTCTTCTCAAAGCAGCTCCTGGAGGTAAGGCCAGCACAGGAGACACGGTCACACGCTGCCTGGGGCACCCAGCCTTCTTGCTGGCAGGAGTCAATCTTGCACCAGGTGGAAGGTATAAGAAGAACACTGTTCAACAACTTGGTCACTTATCTACCTCCACAGAAAAGCACTGCTAAAGCCAGGCAGATCTGCACGCTCTTCACTCTGTGGCCTTTTAGGGTAGGCCTTGAACATGATGCACTACAGCTCCCATGCTTTGAGAGGCAGGGCAGATTCTCTTCTGAGTAGTTACTAAATCTGATGGTCAGCAAGTTGTATTCCATCTTGTTCAATTTAATTCTGATATACAACACTTCAGCTTGAAGTCTTCCACAAATGCAGTAGTCAAGTGTTTGCATTAACATCTCATCCAAGTGATTTCATTTCTAATAGCCTATTATATTTCATTTGTTAATTTTAATAAAAATCAATATGAAAGCTGACTTTAAAAACCCACATCCTCAGTTAACAAAAACGCTTTCAAAGCTTCAAACTATTTGTCCTGTAGCTCCAGGCCACGCATACAGCTAACCAAAATATGCATTTGGGTTTTCATCGTGGTCAAAACTACTTATGCAACATTAAAAGAAGTTTTAAAAAACAAAGCTGAATTCAAATAAAATCAAATCCTCAGCAATCAACGACATTACTGTTAGGCTATGGGGCTGTGCATTAAGCCCAAAACAAGTTAAAAATCAGTTTGGAGGCTCAGCATCTGTGCAGATACCAGCTACAGCAATCTGTAGCATAAATCAGTATGTTGTTTTGGGCTCCATATTTCAAGCCACTGAGAGGAAGCTAAAGGAATCACAGAAACGTTACTTTTTTTCCTTGTTTTGTTCTGGTATTCTTAAATGGGGTTGCAAATTCCATATTTATTAAATAAAACATTCCAGAATATATTAAAAACTCTTGTAAGTCTCCCACATAGACAGAGCAGCAAATAGCTCTGCTATTGTCAGCAAAATGGAAATAAGATTCTACGTAGTAACCAGTAAAAGAAAGCGACCAAATATTGGTACCTGACTTTCCTCCACAGCTCTTGATTCCAGGCAGCTCTTTAAGAAACCAACTTCAGGCACCTCTGTCCTGCTACCAGCTTTCTTCCAAAGGGCCTGTGCCTCTATGCCATTTATTTGCATCCTTCATTTCTCTCTCTTTACTCTGCTCAGTATCAGTGTCTGCTCCTTTAAGATACTGAAAATCAAAGTAATTAAAGGAAATCTTCCCAATTCAAGCTGTCAAAATGTGATGACTATGCTAATTATTTTCTTGTACTTAGTCTGAATAGGACTCTGATTGTAAAACACAACCCTTAAACCTACGGAGCAGTCTTGTCACATTGACCAGCAGGCTCTTAACCTTTTAATGTTCCCAAAGAATTCAACTTCAGTGTAGCACTATGGTGCTCTTTCATATCTGAATTTTAAAAGTCCCAGATACACAGTATACCTTTCAGAAGCATTAAGAAGCTTTAAAGTGAAGCACTTTGTATTAATTTGCAAAGAAACTGGATAATGTTTTTCTTTCAGTTTTGAAGTTACTGTTTGTCACCTACTTCTCTGATTGTCTCTTGAGGAGGTTACATGGTTACAGCACCCCAAATCACCTCCCTGCTCGGGTTTAGTTTTGTAACAGTTCTAAACAGAACAGGTCAGCCTCTTCCCAAGTACTCTCGTCTAGTCCACATGGCAGAAGTTGCAGGCTGTAAGCTAGATGCAGCTCCTTCAGGCTCTCACATGACTTGGATCAAGGTTAGGTAACAAACCGTCTGCTTAGGCAAGGCAGCATAACCCGGTTTGCACCAATAACCAAACGTGCTATTTCAGGTGAGATAGATTAGCTCCTTTATTAGCTCCTTGTATTTCAGGTGAGATAGATTAGCTCCTGTTCTTAACTGAGTTTTTCTAACACCCCCAACACCAGTGGCCAACACCCCCACTTCAGTTTCCCTTGAAAGTTAACACAGGCCCTGCCTGTAAGTGAAAATGGGAGCTAGAGAAAGGCTGCCAGAACTGCCAACCCGCATCAATCCTGAAAAGGCCCTGCATGCATGAGTTCTCAAACACCAAACTCTTCAAAAAGACCGGAGGGGGGGGGAAGGGGGGGGGAAAGGGGGGGGAAGGGGGGGGGGGGAAGCAAAACCAAAACCTTTCTCACCAGAATGATGTATTTATTTTTTCCCAGAAGAGGAACATAAATCCTAGTGCTGAGTTCTTTATGAAGTTTCTACTCAATTCCTGGGAACCAAATTCCAATTTATTACAAAAAGTACCTAAATGAGTACTAAAAACAAAAAAACCAGAGATTTTAACACATACAAATCAAATATTATTTCCTTTGAACCTAAAACACACTTCCCATCCTTACTAACACTCGTGTTAGATTAGGAACAGTTGAGTTACAAAAGAAAAAAGCAAGAGAATTCAACCTTCTGGAATTTCTTTTGCATGTAAGAATCAAACACACTGCTCTGGGAACAACTGGATTGCACTTTATTTAAATACACACAAAATTGCACCGGAGCAACATGTCAGTTCTGTGAAATCTCATATAATCATAGCAAATATCTAACCAAAAATAGAGACGTTACATTTCTGTATATTGCATTTAAAACCTTCATCGTGTGAAAAACTATATATTCTTTATAAAGTATCATTAATCAAATATATTACTCAGTGTGTAGGACCCAAGATAAAATTTCTGTATGAACAGAAACAAATTAGTATGCCCACATAAATAGGAAGTCACATAATTAGTGTTACTGTAAACCAGCTATACTTACAACACGAGCAGAAAAAATAACTGAGGATGATGCTAAATGTTAGAAACGTGAGGCAAACGCACACTGAATGTCTCCTGGGTATGGGGGAAGATTTAAGATAGCTCCTGTCATAATGAAGGGCACGAGGTATGCAGAACATCCTTCATTTCTGCTGAGTTCACTTGTAAGGAACGACATTTGTATACAAGAGGGACGCGTTGAGAAAAGCAGAAGGCTAAAACCAGTTTTCTGAGGCCTATTCATACAGCAACAACAGAAATAATGAGTGGGGATTCTCTGAATCACGTCACAACCAAAGCTACAGAGCTAACATTTCCAATCGTACGGTGTTCTTGAGATGCTGGAACCTGAGCTGAGACACATACAAATAGGAGTCAGAATTTCAGAAATGAGCATCTACGAGTTTTATAGAGGGCCTGATTTCTTAAACAACTCTGTTTGCACAAACTTCAGCTACACAGAGTCTCTCCACAGTGAAAAATAAAGCTCTGCATTGCTTAGGCTTTGCCAAACCAGGTCTATGAGGTGAACCAGACGTTACATACTTGCCTTTCAGTACCAGATTTGATGTGGAAAAACTCAATTAAGAAAAATTTTAAGAATATTTGAATGCATGTAGTTTGACAGCAGAAAAACTTAAATACGGCCAGGTGATTAGATCCTAGGGTTGTCTGCATTTTATGTCTGTAGGTGGCACATGAAATGAAGTTAAGACTGTATGTTCTGATTAACATCATGATTAACATCAGTTACAATTTCCACCTTTCGTCAGTCACAGATACCTACAGGCAGTTGTGGTATTTTTAAAGCTTAGAGCAGCTCTAAAAGGGCCCATTAATTCCAAGGGTGTTGCTAGCCTGTCCATCTAAGAAGAAAAGAGAAGAAAACCAACACCATTCAGAGCTAGTTCCTGCATTGCTCATGTTTGCTTAGCCTGTTAATTATTATTTGAGACCGCTTACAGAGGCTTACAAGTGTAAACAAGAATGACAAACAGACAGACATCCTTCAGTGGCAGTAAAGGCATCTAATTAGTGACCAACAAAACATCACACAGACAGAACCTATAGCAAAGCTGCTCCTACTGATGTTATTTTACTCTTAAGATAGGCGAATGACGAGAATAAAACGAAAAGATACTTTAGCTGATGTTTTTCAAGCTAGAAACACCAGATTAGTAGGGGATACGATGCACAAAATGAAGTCCTTAATGTAGCATCCAATGAATCAGAAAGAATTTTAACCCCATAAAATCTATTCGGATATCTGAATATTCAAAATAACAACATAAAAATTACCCTAAAGCATTTCTTTCCTCTGATGAGGCTGTTTACCCTTGGTCCCACTAGAAGAGAAAATTAAGCAGGTCTATTTCTGATAAATGAGCTGAGCAAATTAGTAGAAACACAGTCTATAAATAGTAGATTTTTTTCTGTTATTTATATGCTGTCTGATTTCTCAAATTTATTGGTGGGGGAAAAAAGTAAAAGCACAAAAAGTGAGGAGAGCACTAAGGAGGCAGTAGGATAGGAGTGCTCTAAACCAAAATCTAGCAGCTTCTGACAGTCAACTCATTTTTCAGGGTGTTGATTAAAGCTTTAGTGTTTACATGATCTCCAAAGTGAGATGCACCATAAGTGTGTGCTAGACTGGTGAACACCCAGCCTTCTGTTGTCACATCACACGTTTAAAGAAATAAAGCAGGAGCACTTACATCCGCAGTACTGTGCCTTTCATTAATACATAAAAATTTTCTGTCTCTTGGTAATATTTGTACAACACAGAGGACATTTATTAACTGCTTCAGCACATTCCTTACACGCAACCAGGTGACCACAGGGAATGAGGACTACTGATATGTCTTTAGCCATACAGATTTTACAGAGCTTTTCTTCCTGCAAGCGTCTTAACTTCTCTTCAATACTGAGATCTAAGAAAAATAAAGACACAGAAGGTAGTTAGCATGCTTTCATAGTGCCTCGTCTCATTTTTTTCCCTCTCCACAGAAAGAGGAAGGATTTTCTTTCCGTGTTGTTTAAAGTTTACACCTTAAAAAAGAAAAGAAAAACAAATCAAAAAAACCCACACAAGATGAGAAACCAAACTAAAATGAAATCCTCAACTGTTGTTTTTTCCCCACCTCCCAGACCAGTGCAGGGAATTCAGCTATCCATATTGGTAAGACCTTGAAATATCTGTGGAATGTAGGATATGCATATTGCAACCAGGGGCCATTTTTTTCAGACTGACAGCTTTCTCAAAACCTACACAGAAGGTGGAGGAAAGGTTCATCAATCCTGATTAAGTAATTTGGATTTTCTTTTCCTCAGCAAGTTTCCTCAGGTTAAAAAATGAGGATACCATCACTTCCCCCCCGCTTCTGTTTATGAAAATGCCTACATTTCAAAAGCTTAAAGAACTGTCATACAGAAATAATTTGTTTTGCATTGTAGATGAGCTCTGTAACTTCTAGTAAGCCTCATTTGACAATGCACAGTACAGAAGCCTTCTACAGCATGGGGAAAGTTCCCTGCAGTCAGTCACAAAAATAATGCCCATCTTCATTGCAAATTCTTTCTCTGCATAATATCCATGAAAAATGTTATTACAAGGAATGGGCCAGTGAGATCCCTGCCTGTCGTGCCACCCAGATGGGCTTTTCTCTCCCTATGAATTCATCCGTATGGTTGTCTTCAAACTACAAATAAGCTCTTGATTCAGACAACTTGTTTCTGGTCAACCTGCAGAGCATACCACAATGGCTTTCCTGAGCAAGGCTTGCACGCCCCAGCACAACTGCAACACCAATAATTAAAAAGGAACGTTGTCCACAAGTACATTTCCTTATTGGCCAAGAAGGAGAATGCTTCTGTTCAGTGCTCTTTGTACTGGCACCAATTTTACACTTGAAAAACTTCAGCAGTGAGGTATTTAATTTTTTGTACATTGAATCTTTGACAATAAACTGTGTTTATTTCACCACAGTCCCCACATCTACAATTATCCTTGCCGCTGTCACAGTAACGTTGACTTTTTAGTTAACCTCAGAGGGCACTGGACTATTATCTCAATATTATACTGTTTTGTGGTATTAATACTAAATTTATTTTGTACAGGACATGCATACATTCTACTAACCTCAAGTATTTTAACACCCCCTCGTTCAACTTCTTTGATGCCCCAAAATAATATAGAGTTTTAAGTTCAACACTGTAACTTCATGTTAAGCAAGACTTGAGTCAGAGGGCAGAATGAATAGATAATGACAGGATGTACCTCATAGACAAACAAGTTATTATGAAAGTACACACACAGGTTTTACAGTTTACTAAGTTCACCTTGCTCAAGTGGGCTTTCTTTCGGTGGTTCTCCCTTTGCATTTTCTTTCTGAGCACTTATTAAGTCTGCTACCAGATCCTCAACAGACGTATAGCTTTCTCCAGACATGTGCAACTTCTTTTCCATAGTGCTCCTAATCTCAGACAAACTGAAACCCATGTGTATGGCATTCTGTACCAACTGATTCTGTAAGAGGTCATCTAAAACAACAGAAGGAAAAAAAACACCAGAGTTTAACAGAGATGAGACTGAATAAGTGACAGTATTCATTATATTTAAAACTCCTGTGCAGATATTTAGCAAAAAGAACTACATTTCTGTTTGCACAGCTCTGCTACTTTTAAGTACTGCACTGGAGAACTCGAGAGCGTTTCAATCCTTGCTTTTCCAGTCTCTTCATCCACTTATCGTATGGAAATCCTCCTCGTTTGCTATTCAAATCAACTACTTCAAGATTTTTCAACATAATTCCTTAAATCACATCCTACGTAATTAACATCCCAAATTCCAAAACTGAGCATTGACTGCAATCGTCAGAAATCCCAAGGAACAATAAACACAAAAGTATTCGCTAACTTCACATTAATTGTAATGCAGTTCAGAAAAAACCCATCCACCTGATAATAGAAACCAACACATACCATGAATTTATGAAACCAAAACACAAGCACAACCATTTCAGATTTTCTGAAGCCTTTCCAGGGTACCACACAGCACTCATTAAGACACAACTGCTCTTCAGCCTGTGGGACTTCCTCCTCTCTCTCTTTTTCAATGTAATTGTTTGAATAGGTTCTCCAGCAGTGTGCCCTATGTCCAACTTTCCCACAACATGAACAACTAATTTCTTCTTTACCTCACATTACTGAGCAAAGAGCAAAATTTTTAAACAATTTCCTCTCACAAACAAGCAATATTTGAAAAGTTTTAAAAATAAGTCTTGTGCAAGCACTCTTATTGGAAGAGCTTTAATTCCACACCACGCTGCAGCACGGCTGTCTGCCTATTGTTCCTTTCAGATATTCATAAGAAACTTTATTCCAGCAGAAGTCTTTCCTGCACATAAGTTAAGCTTTCTCAGCTTCTTTGTCATTTTGCAATTTAACTCTTCCCAACTCATGAAAAGCAACAACAATCATTTCGTTTCAGTATCCTGCAGTGTTTGTCCTGCACCACTACTAATTCAGTGCAGCCATTTTCACAAATCTTCTTCACAATATTTATCCACTGATGATTAGTTATCTTATCTCATTAGTTCTTATCCCACGAGAAACAAAATTCACCGTGCAGCTGTTTAGAAGGAACGAAGCAGTAGAAGAATATCATCCAACAACCTGCCTGCTGTTTTTGAAAAATGTGATAGAGTTAACTTAGAAATTAACAATTTGCTTCTATTATGATTGTTATTTTTAATATATACCTTTAGGAAGTACTGTAACTTCAGCAGCTTCTATCTAAAAAATAAATAAAAAGATGACAAAATTACAATTCTGGAATGAGTACAAGGAAACCTGTACAGCTGCAGGGCGCAAAACAGCTATTTGATCCCAGTTATTTTATTGAGTAAAACTACTATAGTTAGAGCAGATTTGTCCTGCTCTGAACATTGGCAAAGGGCTCTATACTTTGTTATGGCATTCACATTTCTTTAAGCTTTCACTTTGATATTTTTTTGCTGCTATAAGATGTACATGGTGCTTGGTTCCCAGCCTACAAGGATCAGCATTTCAGTACAGAATATAAAACATCTATAAAGCACCCAACCTGGCATTCGTTACCTAAGTAGGGACAACTGTACAGTCTATGAAGCTCAAATAGCAGAATCAAAACATGCTTCCATGTTTTTTACTTTCTGCCAAGAAAAGAAACAGCAGGAAGACTAAAAGTTATGCAGATGATCAGAAGATTGATTTCATATGAAAATTGTTAAGATTGTCTTCTACTTTAGTAAAATGATATTTTATTAATAAGAAACTTACTGTTGAATCCATACATCCGTCTCTTAAGTGAACATTATTTATAAATTCTAGTCCCTTTTCCTCTCTCAAGAACTTGCACCTATAAACAAAAACATTTAGTTATCATATAATTACATACGCAGCAAACAGAGCTGATAACGTAACTTCATAAAGGTTTGACACAATTCCTACTTCATATAGAGTGCTTGCTTCCCAAATCTCAACATCAGTAATATCACCTAAGTGTTTCCAAACAGTTCTTAATTGCTCCAGCAGTACTTATGTGTTGCAGTTTTGGTGAAACAGAAAGCTAAAGATGTTGGCCATGCTGCCTTGTGCTACAGGTTTATAGAAGGGAAAAATTGCAGTGGATAACGAATAGCTAACACCATGCCAAAGCACTGGATCTTTTAGTAGTTTGCCATCACAGAAAAGCAGCCATTGGTAATGCAGATGCCTTGTGTTTCCTTTCTTTATTTTCCAACCAGTCCAAGCTACTGGGCAGTAGCTGGGGCAGATTTTATTTATTTACACAAGTGTGGCAGACAGACCTTTGTTCACTGCTGGTGAAAATGCACATCTAATGGTGGTGGCTATGCTGAAAAAGAATGTTTTGTAGCTGAGAATGTGCTCTGTCAGACAGTGCAATTGTGCTTTTTGCAGCTGTTGTAGGTTCCCCGTAAATAAATGAGACATTACTTTTGGAATCACCTATGTAGTATATTGTGAGACTCTGAAACACTGACACTGATGTGGATGTGCAAACCAAAAAACCTCCACTGCCATAAATAGCAACAACATCAAAGTCACAGTCAGCCCTCTAAAACCCTTCCTGGCAGGCTCTGTCATAAAAACAAGATACTAGGAAGACGACTCAGACGCGCACGTCCCCGTTCATTGCAGGGGAGTTGGCCTAGATGACCCTCAAAGGTCCCTTCCAACCCCACGGATTCTATGGTTCTACAATGTGCAGAAACAAAGAATACTTTACCCAGGAAACCACTTGGCGTGTTGGTCCCACGGGTCTTCATTTTCCTTCCACTCCTGCAATCCTCCACCGCAGTGGAAGCACACAACGTGATCACCATTGCCTTGGGAAACAGCCAGGTTACAATTTTTAGTAGGTGTGACAATGAGTTCTCAGCTAAAACATTATCACAGAAAACAAGCATTTGTATTACTTACTAGAAATTGTCATTGGGAAAGACTCTGTTTTAAAGAGCACAATAAATATGATCTGAAACAAACATTCAGGAAAAAAATCGGCCTTACAGTCACATTAAATAAAGTCACATATAGTATTTCATAATTCTAATTTAGCAAGTAATTAAACAGATAAAAAGCAAATGCTCAAGAGTCTATTATCAGACAGCACATTCCACTGATAAACAAGCCATTAAGTGACTACCACAAAAAATTTATTTGGAAAGTAATTGACACAACTTTATCTGTCCTCATGACCAGAGTTCTGCTTTCTATTTAAGTAACAGTTAAGCAAGAATGGAAATCACTAACTGGAATTTAATTCTAAAGGGTGTTCTTTGCTCCTCCATTTCACCACTAAAATTAATGGGTTCTACACAGCAGCAGCACAACTGCTGGCAATTTCTGAAGAAATGGCATTCTTCAGCACTAGCACTGTGCCTGCTGCCATCAAACACTGCACAGGAATTGCTCAGATTTATGCTGATTGAAATGAGAGGAGGTAAGGCTACTTTTGGTTTTTTTCACCAAAACCAACTCCTGCCCAACCCACCAGAAATGCAGAAGCCACTTTAAAAGCCATTTGGTCAGATAAACTGCCTGTTTAGTTCACCTCCATGGTACAGATCTCTCTTGGCCAAGCTAAACTATTTACTGTTAGGAATCCAAGATGGAACTAATAAAGCAATTCTACTGAGTACAAATACTGCCTGTGTTCCACTTATGTAAGAATATATCACGAGTTTTATTTATGGCCACAAGTAAAACAAATGGTATGAGATTAAAAAGCTCTACTGGGAGCTACTAAGGGAGAAGCCAATTAAGATGAGAGCAAGAAATTATCCCGGATAATCTCCTTTTCTTTGTGACCTAATAATAGCATAACTTCACATAGCACCTCTCAGGAAAGAATTTCAAAGAGCTTTCTCTGCACCATGCATTCAAGAAGGAATTATTTGCCTTCTCCAGATTGAAAAAAGCAACGCACAAAGATATCAGAGCTTCATCCAAATGATAAGCTGTATTTCTAAGAGTAAAATCCCTTCCAGCAGAGTCCTTGTCTTTAAAGCTTTTACAGTAGGTAATAACGACACTTGCTTTTTTTGGTTGTCTGGATGCCATGATAATGTAAGCACATGAACTCATTAAAATGGCATATAACCTGTGCTGTCTCGTTCAGAAGCTTCACAGTGACACACTTGCTCTTTAGACCTGAGGTGGTTACCTGCAGGATGGCACTTTGTTTTTTAAACTATTAGTTTCAATAATTGCCATTGCGAAAGATGTGTTAGGAGGGTTTTAGCAGGTAAGGAAAACTCACTTTGATGCTCTACTGCTAAAAATATATATATATATATATATATGATAATTTTGTATTATGCTAATAAAAATACCTGATAGGATGGATATAATCTTGCAAGAGAAATGCAAGAAGTAGTTTGTAGAGGAAAGCAGAATGAATTTCAATTCAACTAAAAATCTGGCAGAATTCTACATTAGAATAGGAAAATGCTTACATTTTTCATAATAAAACATATTTGCACATTTATTTGTAAAATATATCTTTGTCATCTGGAGGTCTGTCCTACCTGTGCTGTAGAAGCCTGCCTCAGCAAGATGTTCCTTGTTAACAGGGTGCATCCAAGTTAGAAACGTTTGTATCCTCCTCTCATATTCTACCATGGATGGATTCCTCGGATGCTGTTCGTTGTTCAGACAGCTTCTCCCAAGCTCAGCACAAACAGATTCAGTTGAAACGTTTCCAACGTCCCGACCCAGGACAAAAAAGCACTTGGGAAAATGCCTCTTGTGCTCAGACCAAGCTCGATCACCAGGCTCCCAGTTTTTCAGTTTCCCACCACAACAAAAACACGCGACTTGATCACCAACACCTGTGTAGTAGAGTCCTGCACTAGCTAATTCCTTTGGAGTCAATAGGCCGTAGGGGGGCCAGTTGTGAAAGGACTTCAGCCTGGCTTCTTCACTGCACATAGAGGGGTTCTTAGGATACAGAGTATCAGACATGTCCACAACCTGCCTGGTTCTCAACAGGTAATCTGCCTCCACATCAGACAGGTCCTCCAGAGCAGGTGAGAGGGCTAAATTGCTGGAGCCATTTTCAGTTCTATGCCGGTGGCTCTGCACAAGAGGATGTACGTTATTTTCCAAAAACACAGACTCAGAAATAAATCTGCAATCTGGGGAAAGGTTTTTGTGTCTGTCAACCGCAGAATCCCCAGGCTGCCATCCTTCAACAGTCGCGTGGCAACTGAAGCACTTGACTTTATCACCCTCTCCAGTATAAACAAAGCCAGCTTGAGCAAGTGCTGATGCTGAAACCGGACAATCAGGGGGAAACTCCACAAAGGTTCCCAGTCGGTCGTGTTCCTGGCTCCACTCCTGGTCGCCATCAGTGGCTGGAGTGGCACCAGGTTCGGCGCCATCTGGGCCATTACACGTCATCTCTTCGTAGGGCTCTTCCTTCAATTCCCTAAACAAAGCATATTTGTGTTATCTTCACACAGAAGGACTCGGGACACACGCTCCCAAGCACAGAAATGAGCTACATTCAACTGGCTGCATTTTATGTATTAAATTAACATCCCCTGTTCCCTCCCACCTCACCATCTAGAGTCAAACCAAAATAAAAATAAAGCATAAGAAATGGCAGGAAGATTACGAAACATTACGGGAATGCATTACAAAACATGACTAATAAGAGCTTGCCTGGAAAGCATACAGATTTACACAGATTTACACATCTATTTAAGAGAATACTTTATTTTTTAGCAAGTGAATACTGAAAGAGTAATGAAATTAAGGAAGAATTAAACAAAAGCTGTCAAAAGGCTTCCAAGCCAAGAATACGGGGTTATAGAATTAAATATACAATCTAATGGAATAAAACATCCGTCAAATTTTGACTGGCTGCAGTAACTCCTTCTGAGAGAAACACTGGAGCGCTTTCTTGACTGGTCAACTCTGCTTAGGCAGGATTGTAGAGAAGGAAAAGCAGGGTGGAGGAAAGAGGCTTGTTTGAATGCACTCATGCCAAAGCAGTGATACATGAGACCAGCAAGCAGGGAGGGAGGAGAGAGAAAATAGTATTTTTCTGAGGTTGCAAAGTATATTCCCCCCTCAAAGACCTAATTGATGGAACTGGCCTCAGAAAAATAACTAACTAACTAAATGAGGTACAGGTAAGCATTACAAATTAGAGCTATCTCCTAATATACACTGCCAAATAGCTTAGTCTTCAACAGAGAGATATCCCTATCGTCTGGAGAGGACTCCGGAAAGGCCCAGCAACTGCAGTGACTGACTCAGGTATGAGATTCATCTGGCTGTTTTTGTCTGTAACAACCTTTAGCAGAAGGAAGTGACAAATCCTACATCTGTGGTTCTCCCATCAATTCACAAAGTGCTGCCCAGCTGCTGAGCAGAGCAGAGTGAGCCAGAGCAACCCTTTTCAGCTCCAAGGCAGATGGGGACTTGAAGAGCTGTGGCCCCTCGCTCTACACAATGTGAAGTGCACAAAATACTTAGGAAAAGAAAATAAATCACAGAAGTTTCCCATCTTTTAACTGAAACGCTACAAAGCCAAATGCTAATCCTGAAAAAGCACGCTTAGCCTTACAATCAACAAGGTCAAATCCAGCAGATATCTTTCATCTATCCTTATTTTTCTTCCCATAAACATGTACAGGACTTACAGCACAGCCTGGAAACAAAGTACAGTTTTAGTTCCTCTCTGAGTACACACTGACATTTTTAGTGCCTCACAAAAGCAGTGCTTTGGTAGCTGCATCTACAGAACTGCACAAGTGAAAAATTCCTCTCCTTACCCCACAGCAAAAATGACACAAGGTCTGGATAAAACAGTATTGCATTTCTTTTAAAAAATCCCCCCAAAACTCCTAGCAATAACCTTTCCAATAAGCCAACCAACTGAAGGTTGTTTCCTTTTTTAGCTGTACCATGCAAACAAATACAGGGCATGCCAAGTCACAGCCAGTGGTCAAAGGACATTTCCCTCTAGAGCTGCTAAGCCAACAGTGATTTCAGAGCACTGAGAGCATTCAGGAAAGTCCAGAAGCAAAACGAGCAACCAACCCTGGCAATTTTCATTGGAAATCTTCATATCCCCTAAGTAGTTCCTCTTGCAAAACTATTATGTTTTGCTCCCTCCATTTGTGACAAAAATGCTTCAAGGAAGCACCTACCTAACTTGTTATGGGCAGGACATCATTAATGAACAGCACTTATAACCCTTTTGGCACACAGGGCCCTTTCCCCAAGGGTGTACATCCAACCTCGGGGTGCCAAGTGCAAGAAAGGGTGCTGTGCTTCTTCAGCTGAATGACACTGTGGTGCCTGAGAGTAAAGCTTTGATGCACCTGGCTTCCCCTGGTGTTTACAGCAGCTCCTCAGCTGTCTGGAATGAGTTTGAGCCAGAACACCGCAGCTTCTCTCACCCAGGTGGCCGCTACACAGCCTTCTGCTGCTTGTGCCAGTTAGGAATGTGCTTTATATCCATAAGATAGATAAAGCAAATGAGAAACCTTCCATACGTGTGCCATGCACTACTTGGCAGACACACTCTGCACTGCCAGCAGTTACTGCCATCAAAGGTTTCAGCACAGTGCTACAGAAGCACATGCACACCCAAATCCAGCCCTCTGTGACAGCTCTGCTCACTCGGTGAGAAGCATTTCTCTGAGACAGTTTGAAGGAAAAAAAAAAAGAAGACACTTCAAATAGTATAACACTGAAAACACCTAGAAACCAGTAGGGCTCTGGCTGGCTCTGAGCTTCAGTCCTTCAACAGCTGTGTTAACACTGATTTTATTTTCTACAAGGTCAGTGCAGATATTACAATTATTGAATTATTCTCTTTGTTTAAAAAATACTAGATTCAACCTCTACAGGAAGAGCAAAAGCTTTTTTTACATTTCAGAATGGGGAGGGGAAAATTATGATGCTTTGCAAGATCGTGGCACACTTGGCCACAATGACAAAGTGAAGGAGCCAGCAGGCAGGCTGAGAAAACACTTCAGAGGCTTACTGCTAACTGCACAGCTGTGGGCACAAGGCTGGTCTTGAGCACCACAGAATCACAGAATGGCCAGGGTTGGAAGGGACCTCAAGGATCATGAATCTCCAACTCCCTGCCACACACAGGGCCACCAACCTCTACATTTCATACCAGCCCAGGCTGCCCAGGGCCCCATCCAACTGGCCTTGAACACCTCCAGGGATGGACGGGGCATCCACAGCCTCTGTGGGCAGCTGTTCCAGCACCTCACCACTCTCATAGTAAAGAAAAAATAAATACTAATGTGCACTAGGTGAACTTCTTTAAAAATGAATGCACTGCTTACAGTAAGTCATCATTTTTCATGTTGTAAATAATGTTGTATTTTGTCAAAGCAACCTGAACTCATACTGCATCCTGAGTAGGGCCCCAAAGTCTGCAGTGCCCTTTCCAGGGCTGCCCCACAGGTCATCCTTCAGCTGCCTGTGCCAGCTCAGGCTCTGCTGCTTCTCTGGTGTCTTTCACAGAACCACTGCCCAGCCCCCTCTGTTCTAAAGATTTTCATCACAAGTAATCTTTTTTTTTTTTAAAGTAGCTTTTTTTTTTTTTTAAGGAAAGTTTTGTTTCCAGAATGTTTATAAGCACATCATGCTTCATCATGCCTTTCTTCCTTCCTCTCCTGAAATATCTTCTCACCTTTAAAAATAAAGGCTGTAGAACTCAGAACATCCCGTGGGTGGCACACTGGGACAGACTCTCCTTGCAGAAGTAACAGCATCAGACAAACTACTACATACATCAGTTTGTATTCCTTATTCCACTTCCTCTGCTGATCCTCTGGGTGTCTGCTGGAAGCTGAGTGCTGTAAGGACACTGAGGAGCTTAGAAGGGAACACTTGGGCAGAGATGGAAAGAATGGAAGGCTAAACTGAAACATCAGCTCTGTTGTGTAATATTTTAGGACTACATATCAGACAAAAAGCAATATCTTGCAAAGCAACAGAACTCCAAAATATTATTTAACTTTATTTAAGCAAAAGAAAAAAATTCAGTTTATGACCAAGGAACATAAAGTAATAATATGTAGCCACCTCACACACATATGTAACACTTCATGATACATGCCAACAGCGGGCCTGAGCTCAGAAAAGAATTTACTTAATCCTTTCCACATAGATTTAATTAAAATTTCTGTGATTAAACTTAGTCTTCACTTAGAAAGCAGGAGATGTATTATTAAATATCTCCTTCTATATGAAGTGAGTAAACAAAGCCTATTTTAACCTGAAAGACTTCCAGAAGCTGAGCCAAGTTCCATCCTATTTTTAGGTACTGAAGGTTACTTGCCACAAGGCATCTCCCACTTTCAGGCTGAAGTACCCATTTGATGGTCTACTTTTTAAGCTTCAGATGGGGGGGAAAAAAAAGACCAAAGTTCACAGTAGAACCTTACTCAACGTGCAGAACTGTATGCCTAAGTTTTACCAATCAGGCATTTCCAATTCTGTGCAAATTATGATTTTATGCAAAAACACCACACCACCACATTACCTCGGGCTGGAATGCTTCAAAGGAAAAACAACCGATCTGCTTTTCTCTCTTAAGCACGTTATCACACATTATTATTTCCATCCTCAGCCCTAAAACAGATGACATTATAAGGAGTTATTTTTAATTCTTGCCTCTTTCCAAAGGCCAAGCATGGCAGCAACCCTCAAACCAGCCGGCCCGTGGCACAGCCTCGCGTTCCTGGCCACAGCATGCACTCAACACAGCCCTTGTACTGCTTGACATGCTCGCTATGAGAGCAATGTCAGTGTTTATTGTCGACCCAATTCTGAAATGTGAGAGCAGTGCACCAAGTAAATATCAAGCAGGACACGCCGTACCAGCTGATGGCACATACCACGCACCGTGCATATGTCACTTTGTGCCTGCTCAGCTGCAATCCGATCAAAGAAGGAGCTACTCACTGAGCTGGACTTACAAAGATGAACAAGGAAAGAAGCCTTAAAAGTATTTACAAATTTGAGCACATTCATATCTACATATCAGTAGTGATTTAAGAAAAATAACTAGCCATTTTGCTTGGAGAGATCGGTTTGTTTGAAGTAAAGAGGGAAGGAACGTACACAACACTTTGCTTTGGCACCAAATCTTATCTAAGTGCATCAGCTGATACACAGGGTTTTCAGACCAGCTCTACTTAGCTTAGCTTCCCACTGGGGAAAAGGAAGGAATGAAGCTCCTTGCAAGTGCTTCATACACAGTGCCAGAGAGAGGTTGGCCTTTTCAATTTGGACACAAGAAAACCTATCCAAAGCAGAAGTTCAGATCTGACAGTTACTGCCACTGAAATGAATTGCCTGCAGATGACAGTACCTAAAAATAAGGTAGAGGAGAATGGAAAAAAAAAATCAAAAAAAAAATCAAAAGCTTCCCACCAAATCCAAACCTCAAGCATATTGAGAACAGGTGGAAAGAGAGTCTAAAGGCAAAGGCAGAGAACTGCAACAGCACCCACCTTCACATAACCCCCCCAGAACAACACACACAAAAAGGAAAAAGCAATCCTGACAGAGTCAAATTTCCCCAGCAGTTCTAGTGGGATGACTGGTCTATATGCAGCATGAATGGAAATATCACAAAATATTGTGCAAGAGAGGCAGGTGCTCTTGTAGCCATACAGGAAACTGTCTGTGATTTAGCTGCCATTTTTTAATTACAGATCCTTGGAATTGCACCATTTAAGCTTAAGGAGATTCTGTAAGTATTCTTTCCAGATGAACTGTATGGAAATAAGAAAATTAACAGAAGTGGATTTTTTTTTTGTTTTGTTTCGTTTTGCACATTTTGGAAAATCAGCCTATCAGCTTTTCCCATGCTGTTTCCATATCCCTTACCAATAACTGAATGTTCTCAAATATTTTACTGGCCTCCCTCTTACAAAAGGCCTCTTGCACATTTCTAATTCTGTAGCACCACGAAACAATTACATAAAGGGAAAACAAAAATGTATTTTTTCACAAATTATTCATTTTTATATTCTACATATGTTTGAGAAGTATAATTTAAGTGGTGCAAAATTTCATTCCATATTGTTTTCATGCTTTAACTTTAGAACTTTTAGCTCCTACACTTCTGTATCATCAATGGGAATTCGATTTAACTTCAAGATCTGCGTAAGAAAACTGCAGCTGAACTTGCAGAACCATTGGTTTTGATAGCAAAGAGCTTAGAGTCCATACTTAACACAGCACTCCAAATTGAAACACTTTCATCCATGCAAGCCTACAGTACTCCAAGGGATTGGTTTGTGTTCTTTTAAAGCTAAGGTTAATAGGATGACCATTAGTTGCCTCCAAGTTGAATTAGACAAGCAGTCCCTCACAGAGCACCAACCCTAACAGCTCTGACCAAAACAGACACACATGCCTGAGCTACAACAAAGCACTTCAATAAGCAAAGAAGCAAGCTGTGCAGTGCCAACCCTCCTAAAACCCAACATTAGGAGCAACTGGGGTCAATTCCCAAGTTTAGAAACAGGAAAAAAGTATCCATCAGCAATTATAAATGTATCACTGCAGGAATACAGAGTTACTGCTCTCCTGGTTAGGGAAGAGAAAAAAAAAAAAGCAAAGCCAGTCAATGGGAATGTATTTACTAAATGGGCAATGATAAAAGCTGCCTGCAAAACCTGCAGTGACCTTGGGCACATCTCCCTCCTCCACTATGAGCTGTGCTCCAGCCTGCAGCATCACACGCTTTTACTGCTCAGCTAGAAAACATTTATGCCTATAACTGAGGGAGAAGACGAAACAAGAGATCAGCTCTCCTCAAGGGGACATAACAAGACTTCAGCTGCAGTGAAATGATAAATGCCACAGCAAAACTGCCGAATCCTTGGGATTACAAAGGAAGAAGCTGCAGAGCAGGGCAGAGCAGGGAGCCACGAGCTCTGCCCAGCAGGGCTGCTCACACTCCGACGTGCAAACGGCAGCCCATGGGCACGGCACCACGGCACTGCCCAGAATGACTAACATCAGTGCTTGGTCATTCATTGCTGGGCTGAAATGATGAAATGACACACACAAATTGGTGTGCATACACACAGCTGTGAGCTTGGAATCTCTCACATTACCTATGCCCTGTACTTTAATTTGAAGTTTGTTAGCAAGTTGGGATGACTTGAGGACCAATTCTAACACAGTACCAGAAGTTGAAATATGAAAATTGCACCTGTTGAAAGCACTCAGCTTGCCTTTCTGTTTAATAAGAAACTGTTCAGGACACAGAAGGGGAAGGACAGCAAACTTCAAGACACATGCAGTTTCATTTTATGTTTTATATTGCATAAGTGACACTGTTCACACAGGATGGCTTCTCAGTTCCAACAAGATTCCACTAAGCAAGCTTTAAAATAGAACCTGCCTTCTAGTAAAGAAGATTTTGGATAGTCATCAAGTCCAAAATTAACACAGAAAGCACACAGGTTCTCTGGTAACAATTTTCAGTTGTGCACGCAGTATTACAATTTCCATTTCCAAAAAAGGAAACGTTCCTAAAACTGGATGTGCAGAATCTCCCCTCATGAAATCAACTTCTGTCCCTTCTTCACCTACTCAACAGCAACATATGAAGGATCAAACATCTTACTGCTGGCATCCACTTGATGACCAACCAAGGATAGAAAAGGCAAAAAATAAAACATTCTGTGACACAGTCTGAGCTGTTACAAAGCATCACCGATTAAAATACTAGCATTCCTAGTCCTGAAGGACAACCCAGCTCAGGCTGTGCAACACGCCTTCCTCCATGTTCACGTGCCTTCAGCCTTTCTGCACAACTGCTATTTTCTTCCCCTTAGGTTCAGAAATCTATTTCTAGAGCCTGACTTTCAATAGTTGCGTTCAGAGCGTTTTGAACAGAGCTCCTCGTGGATCTCTTGCTATGAAAAATAAGAAGCTGCAGGAGACTACACTCATTAACTCCTGATAGAAAAGAAGGAGAATGCAAAGGGTATTTACAATGGCTTTCCCCTAGGAAATTAGTACCCTGTCACCAACCAAGGTCAGCAGCAGATGAACCAAAGCAGATATTAGTTTCACCTGTTTTCCACCAACCTTTAGGCAAAAATAAATAAATAAATAAAAATAAAATCTTTTCCTTCACAGGGAGTGCTTCATCCAGTTATGCACTGGATATTCTGCAA